TAAAATCATTACACTTCCTCGGATTTAATCCAATGATTTTGCCGTCACGATTCATTGTCATGTACGCTTCGAATGGAGGCAATGGCGCAGTGAATTGTACCATAGTTTACAATCTTTCGTTCAAAATTCATCAGAGAAAACATTGGATTCGATGGAATGACTAGAAATTTATTTTCTAATAAAACGAACCCTCAACCTTCGAATACTTGGCTGTTTGAGCGATAAAAATAGATCAACCCGATATTCTCATCAAACAGCTGTACTGCTATGATATTCGGAGATTTTCTATACCACATGACCAGTATACGTTTTCTTCCACACACTCAAGCCAAGCTGGAACTCTGTTTACACCAATTATGTTGCTCACAAATAGAGACTCATCGTAAGACTACGCAAACATCCATCACTACAGTCTAGTCTGGTGTTCAACTCCACCTTGGACCGATACCTTAGCCACAGCCAAAGTCAGCACAGCTAATGTACCGTCATTTGGCGCGAGTTTTCCACCCGTGTACATCCAACTGTCGAGTCACTATTGAGTCATGCTTTCGATTTCGTCTCTCAGTCCCCTCACCCGGAAAATTATCTCTGCCACGGCATTCATTCACAACCACAGCCTACGTCGCAAGTCAAACGGTTCGCGACACGTTGAAGAATCACGTCCCAAAGGAGGGAGGTGGGAAGGGGACTCGCAAAACCAGCTGTCTGACTCATCTCTGATTTCTCAAGGTGCCACATCTGCGACTACTTTTCTCTAGCCCGCTATTTTCGGTTTCCCAGCGAAATTTTCAAAGTCCCCGCCTGCCGTTCGTAGAAGAGGATCAAGCAGCTGAGCTGAGCCATTTTCTTCTCCCTACCCCTTTGGTTCTTTTCGATGTCGCGACCATACTTCGCCCAAAGTGGGTGCGCGAAACGTACGTTCAAGTTCATTTACGTCTGAACTAACTCATAGATTGGCTGTCGATTTTATTCGTATATATATATATACATGTAGGGATGGAAGTTTGAGATTTTTTTTTTACTCCAATACAAAAGTATGATGAGCTTCTTTTGTAATACGTACCGAAAGACTGAATTTTTTTTTGATACAATAATGATGTTATGTTGTTGATTTATATGGTTTTTGTGAAATTTTTGTACAAGGATAAACAAATTATAATGAACTGTAAGCTCACGTTGACTAAACTTACATTTTTTCCGGTGTTTGGTAATCTTTCTTATTGAACCGTGGGTTTTATGTTTGGACTTCGGATGTGGCGAGACTTGAAGGTTAACGATGGATTCGTCCGTTGTCTTCATGTCCGAAAATTCGAGCTGGCGCGCCACATTATCGGGATTCCACGATTCATTATGTATAATTTCGTTGCTGTAAAAACAAACCGAGGCACTCTTAGTGCTTTGGAGGCTTTCTGTTCACGGTATGTTTATCACGTCAATGGTGAAATAGATTGGTTTGATTAGGAAAATAATTTCATTGAAAGACCGTAAAAAAAATTGACAGATAATTTTTTTAAATTTAGGTTTCCAAGTGAAACTTTAAATTGTTAAAAATTATAAACTTAATCGTATCAGAAATAACTCTGGAAAATTCCAATCATTTGTTGTTGGTAATTTCCGTGATCTATTAAAACATGCTCATTTTTATCATTTCCATTAAAAAAAAAAAAAAAATTAATTAATTAATTAATAAAACAGAAGTAAATAAAATAAATTCAAATCATTTTACCTAGATTTCCAAAAGTCTGTTTTTAAATCATTGCTCGGTAATAAAAGAGGACTTTTAATGTGAATTTCCGGTGACAAAAAAAGATCCTTAAGAGCGACAAATCTAGGTGGATTATCAGAATTGGATTTGTACTTTGGAGTCCCTTGCAATCCTGAAAACGTTCCTGAAATGTAATTAATTTAAAAAAAAACAATTTTGTAGAATACTTAAGTTGTGTTAACATTTCTTTTTATTTTTAATCAACTATGTACACTTTAATTTATTCTAATAGTCTGCAATGATTATGCAATCATTCCTTTTTTTCTATTAAATCATAATGCCCCGTTCTATTTCGTATGCCAATAAATTACAGATTCATCTTCCTTCCAAGATCAATAATTGCATTTGATTTTTCTAATTTTACATTGAAGATGAATTTTAAAAACGAGATTTTCTAACTATATCAAACATTAAGGTTTTATTGATTAGGCTTTTTACGAACTGAATTAAAAAAAAAAATTAATTAAAAAAAATTACAAGGATAGT